AGCTTTGCAGACAATTGAAGGCAGCTTCACACATTTTAAAAATGCAATCCTAAAGACCTTGCATGGCATATTTAAAAAAGAAATTGATAGGAATACATACTCCAGACAGCAGGGATTGGTCTTAGCCACCACATCTACACCCAGTAGAACATGCATATACACACAGATACCCCTTAGTTGTAAGCCTGAGAGTGGAACATCTAGTATCTCTGTCCTAAATTCTCAAAATGTTAGTAGCTTCATTCCCAGTTGGATCTGACACTTACTGCTGAATTGCCTTGCTCAAATCCCTGTCTTATATTACAGTCATCTTAATATTATATTACTATTATAGATTTGGTTGATAATTTGCCGTGGATTCCACTTACTTAGATTTCCAAATGTTAGTTTGCATAGAGCTAAATAGCATATAAAAGCTGGAAGTATTCTATTTATTTAGTAGAGCCTATTTAAAGGGATTAACAACTTGCTATCTGAAAACTCCTAAAGAGGAATTACAACTAAACTGGGATAATTTGGCAAAGTTAAAAGCCTGCTCTGAATGCATTCAGAAATTAACATAAGCTGTATTTGCAGGTTGGGAAAGAATAAAGAGCTGCAACCTTGAAAACACAGTTGAGAATTATGGTGGGCAGTATCTGGTGATGGAACAAATAGGTGTATTCTAATCCTTGTACATATGCTTAGAATGTGGCATATGAGTTGAGAAGTTGTAAACTGTTCTGAGGTTTTGTTTACAATTAAGGTATACATATTTTGTTCAACAAATAAAATATCTTCCAGTTGCGCAAGGAAGTTTGTCATGTCCTTTACTTGGAAACATGCTAGGATTGTGAAAATTTGCAGGTTTTTCTTTTTCTTTTAAAAAAGAACAGAGCAGGAAGTCTTTTCCTTTATGTAACATTTTGTTGTCTTGCCTCTCTTACAGTTCATGATCTGCAGAGCTTTGGACTTGACAATGTAAGCATCTGGGAGAGACATACTGAGTTTGAGATACTGATTCACATCTGCAGAGAAGGGAGTAAAGTGTCAGTGCAGATGATTTCCCCTTGTGCATACTGGTGTGGCACCTCTAGCTTTGGCAGCAGCTGTGTAAATGATAGGCCAAAAGAACAAAAACCAACATTTAGAACAAAACTGTTTCCCCCCAAAAGGTGACCACATAATTCATTGTATACTGGTGCTTTCAGAATCCAGTGAGTCACCAAGCATCCATCCTGAGCTCCTTGCCTTATTTTATTCCCACCCTGTATGCCACTGAGCACGAACACCTCATCTCCTCCCTGTGACTGCAGTTCCCAGAGGAGAAGAGGTGTGTAATTACAGGGAGAGGAGTGTATTTCTAGCAGGGCTTATACCCTAAGGTGGTGTATGCATGAAAATTGCGCAGAAGAGAAAACATCATTAGCTGTGCTCAACTTGCATAAGCAGGCACAGGTGCTAAAATCCTGCTGCTCTTATTGGAGAGAGTTGGTGAAAAACACCTACCTACCTTTTGATCATAGGCTTAGTACTCAGCCTGCTCTATCCTTTGCTGGTTCTGTTTGAACATGTTTCCCTTTTTTTTGTTTCAGATAAACATGACCCATTTTATCAAGCACCTTTCATTTGGGAGGGATTATCCTGGCATTGTGAACCCACTTGATGGGACAGTTGTCACAGCACACCAAGGTACTGGTCTGAAAATAAGTTACGTTATAGTTTGCTTGTATACTGCTTTTGCCCCCAAAGTGATGAATACTGTATTGATACAAAGAAAGGTGCAGTAAAATACATTAAGTCATCCATAAAAGCAATATAAGATAGCTAATAATAATAATACCGTACTTTTCTGTGTATAATACTATGTTTTTTTCTTAAAAAGTGGAGGTCTTCTTATACATGGATAGTGAATAGGGCGGACATTTGATTGATTGCTTCCACAGCTGTCAGCGGCTATTGTGCGTGTTATTGGTTGCTGCGTCAGTGGGTGGTGTTGATTGGCTGATGCTGGGGAAGCTAGGCGGGCGATTGGCAGCTCCTGCCAGTGACGGGACAGCCGGGAGGTGGAGTTTGTGATGCGTGTAGGTGAGTGATTCTTGGCAATCCCCCCTAAAAAAACCTCAACCACCCTGGGCAATCCTCCGCAAAAAGCTCAACATCTCCCCCCATTTTCTTAAATTTGAGTCTCCCAAAATAGACGGAAAAGTACGGTATGTATGAATAAATAAATAAATAAATCCCTTCCCTTATAATAGTACCTAAACAATGAACTGGCCAAAATATGATGGTTACTGTCTAACCTAGGACTTTCTCAATCCAGTCACTGTCTTTTAGCTCTTTTAGTTTGTATCCCCCTCTCACTACATCAGGGTAAGCAAGCAGACCCTCCTGTTTAGTTCATCAACCTACTTGGTGCTCCAACGTGCAGGATCCTGGTAATCTACTTTTTAAACAATAGGCCATAGGAGATTTAAAATAATAATAAATTAAAAACAAAAATGCATGCCTCTAATACCACCCACAAATCACACTGAACATTGCTTCTTGGGCTGTAGTCATGCTCTCGCCACAGACACAGCTCTTGGGTGTTTCTGCTCACATGCACTGAAGGGTTAACAGCCTATTTTATAAATACTAATTGTAATAAATAAAATATTTTAATTAACAATATTAAATTTAGGTTTGCATGAGAAGGGAATAAAACCTTGTAAGTAAAGACTGTCACATGCCACACAAGTTATGTATATATGTATTTATTTTAATATTAAGTTGGGCAACTAACTGGCTAGCTTCTGGCTCAGTAAAATGGGAAAGATGCCAGCAAGCTTCCTCTTCCTCCTGGCTGACAGTAAGTTATAGGCAGGGGTGCATGCATGAAAGAATTGTCTTTGCTCTTTTTCCCACCACCACCACCCCCCTTTTTTTTTTTACTTTCTAAGCCACTCCCAGCTCAGAAAGATGGAGTTATAGGGACACACCCCACAGCAAAATAAATCTGGATAGGGAGAGGGAACTAGCCTTGCCTTTATTCCCTGGGAATGAAATATTGAGTTTCTTTTCTCTCCCTCCCTCACCTGCTCTTTCATAAGACCCTGCTGGTAAGATTGTAGACTAAAGTCATTATAGCAGGAATTATTACTATGTAGCTTGGACCTCAGTAGAATTCTAACTTCCCACTTCAAAGTTACTGCTGCTTATTAATTATCTATTCAAATTCCTTCATATCAATTTTGTTAAGTTCTGTATAAGGGGACTTTCCCCCCAAAGTGGCTCCTGTTAACACCGTATTTTGCACTTAGCATCCATGATGTTCCAGTACTTCGTAAAAGTGGTCCCCACAGTGTATATGAAGGTCGATGGTGAGGTAAGATCCCCACATTTTCTTTTAAAAACAAATAAACACACACACCAAAAACTAGCATTATATTTTAATATAGAACAGTGCTGTCCAGGTTATTGCAGTGTAATTAGGGGTTGGGACATGAGGAAATGAAATTGCAAAGAGTTTTGTATATCTTATTACCAATAAGCCTCTGAACAATCAAAGCTCCAGACTTGCAAAAGTGTGGATGACAACCGCATGGGGATTTCTGAAAGAGAGTAGTCTTTATTGCTGTGGATCCAGTTTCCTCAGGCTAGAGAATGTAGTGTGACGACAGGACAGTTATGAGTCATGGGGGGAATTATCTTGAGTGTATTGTAGGACTTGGGTAGGTGGTTTCTTTGTGTTGTTGGGCAGAGGCGGGTGGAGAGAGAGGACAAACTAAGGTATACTTACCGTATTTTTTGCCCTATAGGACGCACCGGCCCATAGGACGCACCTAGATTTTGGGGGGGGAAATAAAGGGGGGGAAATTATTCCCCCCCCAGGCGCGGGGCTGGGGAAGCTCGGGCTTCCCCTGATGCCAGCCCCCAGAACAGACCCAGAGCGATGCCGAAGCTGCGTGCAGCTTTGGCATCGCTCTGGGAACTTGCGGGGCTGGAGGAGCTTTCCCCTCCCCCAGCCCCCAGAACGGGACCCAGAGCCATGCCGAAGCTGCGTGCAGCTTTGGCATCGTTCTTGGAGCTTGCGGGGCTGGAGGAGGCCTCCCCCAGCCCCCAGAACGGGACCCAGAGCGATTCCGAAGCTGCGTGCAGCTTTGGCATCGTTCCTGGAGCTTGCAGGGCTGGAGGAGGGGAAAACGGAGCTTCCCCCTCCCCCAGCCCCCAGAACGGGACCCAGAGCGATGCCGAAGCTGCGTGCAGCTTTGGCATCGCTCTGGGAGCTTGCGGGGCTGGAGGAGGGGAAAGCCCTCCGCCACCCTTCTAACCAAGTCGGGGGACAGCGAGAAAGGCGCGCTGCGCCTCCCGCTGTCCCCCGAGTTTGCGGGGCTGGCGATGGGGAGGAGCAGGCTTCTTCCCCCCCCCCCCGCCAGCCTTCTAACCAAGTCGGGGGACAGCAGGAAAGGCGCGCTGCGCCTCCTGTTGTCCCCCGAGTTTGCGGGGCTGGTGATGGGCTCTCCAGGCTTCAGCGAAAGCCTGCATTCGCCCCACAGGACGCACACACATTTCCCCTTCATTTTTGGAGGGGAAAAAGTGCGTCCTATAGGGCGAAAAATACGGTAATGCTTCCTGCTGGATGCATTGTGCATTGTGGCAAAATTTAACCCAGCTCCAAATCCTATATAGTCAATTGTGTGTCTTAACTTGTTTAATTAGAACGAGTAACATTATGTTCTACTTATGTTCTACTAGGTGGTGAGATCAAATCAGTTTTCAGTAACACGACATGAGAAAGTAGCTAATGGGCTAATTGGAGACCAGGGTCTCCCTGGAGTATTTGTGCTCTATGAGCTTTCTCCCATGATGGTGAAACTAACAGAGAAACACAGGTGAGAAGTTTTCACATGAACCCATTTTACAACTTGCTTATAAAATTATGTTTCATTTATTCATACAAATAGGTTGTAGAGGCAGTTGCAAAAAGCTTCCATTTGAAGCAGTTAACATTTTGACTGCCTTTTGAACCTAAGTGTTCATTGGACATGGTCAAGTGGGATTGAATTACTGTATTTACTCAAGTCTAATGCACCATTGAATCCATTGTGCATCTTAAATTTTGCAACGTGATTTGGCCAAAAAAGGTGAGCATTAGATTAAATACAGTAATCCATGGGTTTCATTCCCCCCCCACCAAAGTTTTAACTTGTTCATTCATAATGTACACATTACATGGTAATCAATGTTTTTCCCCCCCTCACCCCATATAGGTCCTTTACACATTTTCTCACAGGAGTCTGTGCCATCATTGGAGGGGTATTTACAGGTATTTGAATATTTTAATTGTTCTTCTCACCCATCTTGGATCTAAAGTTTAGCTTGCTAATGTTTTGATCAATACATCCTAGGCATTTTCAAAACTTGTTTTTACAAAGATGGCAGAATCGTCACTAGTAGTACAATGATTGTTGAAATATTATAGTACATCTGTTTTCTATACATACAAAATGAGCAAAAATGCAACTGAATGGGGCTTATCAAAAAGTGTCTCCTAGTAGTATTTAGTGAGCAGCTGATTTTGGTTGTGTGATATGGCTCTTTGGGCAGTGCACAATTTCCTCACTGCTTTGACAAGTTTAGGAATCCCCCCCCCCCGAACACCTCAAAGCAACTTTTTGGAAAAAAGAGGGGGGTTTCTTTTTTAATTTCCCCTTTACATGCACTGTCAATATGGAACATATAACCTGACCTTCCTTTCCTCTTTCTTCCAGTGGCAGGACTCATTGATTCTTTGATCTATCATTCGGCTCGGGTCATTCAAAAGAAAATAGAACTTGGAAAAACAACATAGATTATCAGGTGCAATCCCCTCTGAAGAACTTGAAGGAATTAAAAACAAATGGTCAGTGGTCATTTTGAGGGTGCCAAGAAGATCCCTGGACTTGTACCAAGACTGGAACTATCATCAGTCTCTCTTCACAAGTAAAATGGGGGATTAATTTAAACAACCATCTTTTGTGGCAGTGCTGTATACCCTAGATTTCAGTACTTGTCTTATATGTTGGCCTATCTCTCAACTTCTAGATCATGAAATGAAGAATATGGAACACAAGACCTTTTACATGTGTAAAACAAATATTTTCTATTTAATTTGTACACAGTGCTACCCTTAGGATGTTTGTTTGGACCAAATTCTCAGGAAAAAGTTTTAATAAAGTCGTGTAATATTTGCTTTCTTTTTACTTACATTTCAACACTCTGTATCAAATAGCATTGCAGCCAAGAATATTGCTCAGTATTCTGTGCTTGCTTCCCTGCTCCTCTGATACCTTATACTTAGCATTTCTTAACCACTTAAATAACAGTGGCTTTAGCACAAAAGTAGGCCTGGGAGGTACTGTCAATATCAGCTTTTTGAAATCTCTGTCCAAGGATAAAGCATCCTATATTGTCCATAAAATGCAATGAAAGAGAAGCACCAAGTCAGCTATCAGAGATAGCCTCTGTTTTCCAAATTTAAAGAAAAACATTTCAAGTTGACCATCTTGCTAAGAAAGTAGTCTGTTCAGAAGTGGTGTTACATGTGTATGTATGTGTATATACATACATACCTGCGCCAGGTCTTTGATCTCTAATCCATCCACCTTGTTTCTCTTGTGGCTCAAAAGACCATCATTGGTCCTAGGATTTGGGTTCCTCTTTCTTGGATTAGTGACTTTGAAGTCTGTGGGGCACTGGAGCAAGCTATTTATAAAATGATATTCTGCCTTCAACTGCTAGTTTCTCAATGAGTGCCAGTTCAAAAGTGGCATTGTGGACTCCAGTCCTGCGGAAAGCTCCAGCGTACCGATTCTTTTCCCAGTAGTGGTGCCAGTTCCCTCTGCTGTCTGCGCCGAAACCAAATGCAGAGACCTGCCACACAAAACATTATGGGGAAGGAAATGAGAGTATGAGGCCTATGTAGCCGAAAAGCTGCTACCTAATCTAGCATTCTGTTTCTCAGAAGTCTGCAGGCAGGGCACAAGTGCAACAGACCTTTCCCAGGGAGCGGTGGTCAGCTACATGCAGCCATCGATAATAAAAATTCTTTAAAACAAAAAATAATAAGTTTTGCCAAAAAAAAATTGTTCATCCACAATAACACTGTCGCAATAAAAAAGATAAATATAGTTCCCCCACCCTTCTCCCATGGCTTTCCTCAACTCCTTCTTTTGGTTCATAACATACTAACTTCTCCTGCTTGTTTTGTTATCTCTCAATAAAGCTGTCTTAAATTTAATAATCAATAATCTAACCCTGTAAGGAGTGGCCACATTTTACGGAAGCAGACTCCATTATATAAAGATAGCAGTGATGAGGTTAATTTTGGCAAAGATTTTTAAATGTGAAACATACCCTACTACATTAGCAAGCAGAATTTACTGTAATAGCTGCTTAATAGACACCCTTCCTCCAGTGTCACTTCTAATTTAATTTGGGGCTTTGTGGAATTTTGGCAGGTTTAGTTCATTCTTTAAGAGGAGATGGATTTTTATGCAAAGACAATGAAACAAAAATGGAAAGTCACACTGCCAGCTTATAGCATATTCAGCTTGTTATCAGGGCCTGCTTGTTTCTGTATAATTTGAGTAATTTTTAGGGTTTTTTAAAAAAATCTCTTATGTCTTGATCACTAAGTTGCAATATAATGAGACATCCAGCACAGTTTCAATACCAGCCAAATCTCTTCAGTCAACTCCAGTGTTTCAAAACATGGGAGAGGACTATCTTGTTTCCTGAGGGACTCTTCCCATGTACTTTCTGAACTACCATTCTGTCACCAAATCAGTTGTGAGAAAAGTTGCTTTTTTAAACATGGCCCAAAGAGGCAAGTTGCCTCACAATCAAATGCACTACATCCCAATAGCAACAGCAGCCTGTATCTGTAGACATCTGGAGATCACTGTACATACCTGTTTACAAGTATGGATAGCAAAAAGCAGTGAGGCGAATCCAGTGGATGGATACCTTCCAAAGCGCTTCATCCATTTATCGTGAATATATTTTAGGAAGGCAGGGTTCAGTATTAAGACCTGAGGAGAAGAAAAAAAATTGGACTGAGAAGTTCTCCTATTGTCATAGCCTCTTCTTCCTCAAATTGTCCCACCTGCCACAAGCATAGCTAATGAGAATGAGATGGTTTGTGACTCTTATGCTCAACATATTAAAAGCAAAGGTGTTGGTCTTTATTTAAAGCAAATTCTTGCTGCTTGATAAAATTAAATCTCCCAAGAAGTTCACATAAACAAATGAAACATCAGTTCATATAAACGTACGAAATAACCTTCAATAAATATTTCCTTAAAACTTAAGTAAAAGCAATCACAACAGCCCTTGCCCTTTTAAACATTAGTCACTCCAGTCATGAGTAACCTAAGCCCAATTTGTATTAGCTTTTCATTTCTGAAATGAAATGAGCTATAGGGCTCAGGAGTGTTGAACTAGGACCTGGGAGAAAAGGGTTCAAATCCTCACAGTCGAGAATCTCTGTCAGAGATCAGTCACACCATCTCTCAGCCTAACCCACCTCACAGGGGTCATGTAATGACAATGTGAGGAGCAGGAGAAATGTGTGCTACCTAGAATCATAGAATCATAGAGTTGGAAGAGACCACAAGGGCCATCGAGTCCAACCCCCTGCCAAGCAGGAGCTCCTTAGAGGGAGGAAAGGGTGTAAATAATACAAATACAAGTTTTCCAGTACTGTACAGCGTTTCATTAGACTCAAAGGCCTAATGCAGTGGTTTTCAACCAATGTGCCATGGCACCCTGGGGTGCCTTGAATAATGGTCAGGGGTGCTGTGGGCAACACTGCCCTCTGCCCCTCTTTCCTTCCTTCTTTTGTCTGATGCCTTCTCTCGTCTCTGCCTCCCAAAGGCTTGCACAGTTGTTTGTTGCAACAACCCTGGCTGTGAGCTCCTCAGGCAAATGGTGCCTCTGGGGCTGGCCAGGGGGTACTTCCCAGGCCCCTGTGGGGCAGTGGGAGGAGGCACCTCTCTCTTTGTGGGGGGCAGCTCAGAGACCGGGGAGGGGGCAGCTGCAGCTGCTCAGAGGACTCCCAAGGAGAGAGAAAAGAGGAAGCTGAGACAACACTCCACAAGGGAGGGTGTTCAAAAAAGGGTGAGGGGCTGCCAGCTCTGCAGGCAAGGGGTGACATAACTGGGCCTCTGAGCCCCACAGGGTGCCGCAGGAAGAATGTAGTTGGTCAAGGAAGCCATGGACCCAATGGTTTATTTCAGAAGGTAAAACAGAATTTTACTCTTGGATTGTTGAAATTAATGAAGCTGTTCATTTTCTGCCGGAAACCTCAAGACTTCCGTTGTTCTACTCCATAACCTTCTCCTCGCCCCTAAAAGCTGGCCAATTAAAATTACATTTTATGTGAGCTCTGTAGTTGTGCTTTTAAGTGCTAAGGTCTTTTTTGTGTCTTCTTTTGTTTACAGAAATTGCCAATGTGGGGCCCCCAGTCTGGATCAGGATTCTAGCATAGGGGTTGGATGGCTTTATACCCACTACCCATCCTCACTTGAGGATGAAAAGGCCTCCGTTCAATTTGCACTGCAGTGAAATCTTCCATTTGTTTCAATGCTATCCCTTCCACACCCCTCCAAATTGCAGGGGAAGATATGGGTTGGGGCAGCAGGAGATTAAAGCTCCTCTACCTCCATTCTAGGGTCCTGGAATAAGACTGTGGGGTCCACACTGACATTTTTTTTAAAAGCAAACAAAACACTGCAGTTGCACATATCAGTCCTTAAATTCACAGAATAAACAAGCAATGACAGATCCGAATCAATGTATTGCCTGCATTCACAACTTACCTTGCTTTTGTCAGCTTCAATGAAGGGCTTGACTCTTTGGTATGTACTGTGAAAGAAATGGAAGAATAGCATTCATCATTTTACTACTTTTACCATCAAACTTCCTATTTTCCCCCCTCCAGTGTTCCGTATACATAAAACCCATTCCTGGAGAGTCACGCAACTCCCTGAATAATGATTGACCGGGTGCGCTCCTGTTATTACAAGCATATTTCCCTACATTTGCAGCACTGACCTAAGCCCATAGTGGACAAATTTGTAGTCTCAATGAAGCTTTTAAGGGTCACTTCAAGATTTCCCTACTGACTGAATGTAAAGGCACAAAGAAACCAACTCTGCTCTTAGCAAAGGATGTTTATTGTGAGGAATGAAATCCACATCATGCACTGTTTGAAGAAGTACTGTAGCACCCTGCTTGTGGTTAACGCTTAGCTGGAATGAAATATTCAACGCAGCAACAGAGAAATTAAAATAATTATTTATTTGTCAGACAAATAAATGAGAGGCACAGTGGTATATGATTACCAAGCTCTGGCCTGGCCTCCTGCCATTATGGCCAGCACTTATATTCCCTTAATCCAGCCCCCTTTGCTCCTCCTGTGGCTGCCTCTGTCCCATCAGCCTGGTTGAAATTCCTATTGGCTGATTGGTATAACCAATCACAAAAATACACCCATATCCTCCTGTCCTTATATGGAACACAAAGAGCTATATATTGTTACATCTATAAATGACAAATATGTAGTATTATATCTTACATGTGTCTCAACAAGGAATCTTAATTACCAGCTCACCTCTTGCCCTCCTTGCCCTATTGCCTTCTAAAACAAATGGTTAATCTTAAATTTTTATCTTAAACATATGTCAAGGATCTTGAGTTTCACATCAACATTGAAAGATCTCCTTCATTTGAAGGTTTCTAAACAAATGTCTGACAACTTATATATCAGGATTGCTTGGATGGCGTCTCCTTTCTGACAGGGGGGGCTAGGCTGGGGGCTGACTTAAATACAACTCTTACAACTATATGAAATAAGAATCTAGCATTTCTTAAATCCTTTGCATAATTACATTTAAGCCAATATATTTCATACATTATCATAGATAGCTTTTTAGAAGGATAAATTTCCTCAAAGTGAAAGGAAGGAACAGTTTACAGCCTCAAAATAAAATAGGAAATAAAAGCCTCTTCCCCTGTTTACACTCCCCCCCTTCTCCAGCCAGTTGCTTTGTTTTCCATGTGCTCTTGGCCTTTTGTCCTGTGGCTCAAGTTTAAGGCACATGGTTTTATTTTACTGTTTACTAACTCTTAATTATGTTGGGTCCGTAACCTTGCTCTTTAACCTGTAATTCCCCCCTTTCACGACTTTGAGAATTGTTTTCTGCTATAAATCAAGGGGCCCCTTGTCTAGGAGGAAAACATTGCCAAGGTTCTCTATAAACAGCTGGCCTTCTTGCCTGGCATGAAACATTTGAAAATCTAAGCCCATTTAATTTAGGAACCTGATCAAAATATAAGCCAATATATGCCTTGATTAAAAATGCAGTCTATATTCAGATGCCACATTACTTCATTTTGTCTGTCCTGCAACGCCCACCATTTCGCTTCATTGGCTGACCCCAGATTCTAATACGATGGGAGAGGAAGAAATAAAGCTCTCTCTCTTCATCCACATTTTATCTATGATGTCTCCCTTATAAATCCCTTCTAAACTAAAAAAACCCCACAAACATAATAACATTTACTCACATAGGACATGCTCCAGCCCCTTGATATTCTGATTTCTTTTTTCTGCACCTTTTCCATCCCTATGCTGTCTTTTTAAGGGGTTCAAGCAGACCTGTACAGAATATCCACTCACAGTCCAGAAATTGTGCCCAAAGGAACCTGCCCCATAAATGATGCTTAAGGTTTTGTTCCTGCTGTAGTACTTGCCTAGCTTTTTGTACTCCAGTTAGACAAAGTGCTCACCGCTTAATTTCTCCTGAGGAAAAAGCACTAGCTAGCCATTTGAGATCCAGAGGTTTGAAGGGGACGAGCACAAGATGGACGCCAGCATGCAGGTTCACAGCACTCTCTGGGTACATGAAATGGTGCGTGGTTCTTGTACCAACATCTTCCTCAAAGCCTGCAGTTTGTGCTGTGTTCATCCTCAAAGGACATAAGAAACATGATCAGATGCTTCACAAAATTTCCAGTCCAGAAACATGGGGACAGTTGGAAAGTCTGAATCTGACACTTGATGGGCTGAGGCCTAGGGACATCAACCAGATGCCATTCTTCAGGACTGTAGATTACCAGATTTTATTTTCAAAAATAGATAATATTTCAGGATTTTAAAATCTGGAGTTGGAATTGTTATTCCCACAACTATTCCCATACATTACAGCATAAGCAACTTTTGTCACATACATCCCAACTTCTCTTGCTGCTTCTGCCTTTGCATCTCCTCACCATTTCAGAATTTAGACTGTAATCCGTGTTCTGGCACAACAAACTGTTCTTCTTATTTGCTTATGGTAATGTCTTATGCCAGCAGTAAGCAACCTAAGGCCCGGGGGCCGGATGCAGCCCAATCACCACCTCAGTCCGGCCTGCAGATGGTCCAGGAATCAGCGTGTTTTTACATGAGTAGAATGTGTCCTTTTATTTAAAATGCATCTCTGGGTTATTTGTGGGGCATAGAAATTCGTTCATTTTTTTTTTTCAAAATATAGTCCAGTCCACCACAGGGTCTGAGGGACGGCGGACCGGCCCACAGCTGGAAAAGGTTGCTGACCCTTGCCTCATGCACTCGGAAGGTGCTGATGATAGGAATAGCAGCAACCATAGTAATCCTGTCGAATTACAATTACTGCTCAACAATATTTTGTTGGGTAATAATCCTATTAACCCTATTGGAAGGTGATGGATTCATTATTATTATTTTTTTAAATACAAACTGAGAAGCATTAATTAGTTAATGATAAATGGTCCCTTCCAGCTATGATTCTGTGGCTGTGGCTGAGTCTTCAGTGTTAACCATCAGAGAGAGAGATTTAAAGTATCAAGAGATCACACCCCCCAACAATTATCTCTCAACAGCCAATCATTCTGACCTATTAACAAATAATCTCCACAGCAAAGGAATGGTTTCTCATCAGCCATAATACAACGATACATTATAGCAGCCACACAAAAATACTTTTCAGCATTATTCACACTAATGTTATGAAACCCAAGGTAGGGCGTACAGTATATACTTTACTCCACTTACCTCAGCACAAAGTGGTGAGAGTCAATCTTTTTTCCATATTTAGAGCCCTTCAGCCTCCCTGAATTGCCCACCACAGCACATGTTCCACACTGGCTAAAATCCTGGGCTGTAACAGGAGGGGAGTGAAGGATGTCAAACAAGTGCTTTATTATCTTCTGGAGTTGGCTTCCATCCTGATATCCTTGCAGCCTCTAATGGAACAAAGCATGCTTTTAGTTGTTTATTATTATTATTTTTGTAATTTCCCCCCAGTATGTTGTTATGACCACCCTAGGCTCCTTGAAGAGGATGAGATAAAATTATTTTTATTATTAATAAATACTAACAGAGGACATTAAGGGAGGGGGTGTAGAACCTGCTTTCCAATAGCATCTTTTTATATAAAAAAAATGGAACTGCCTGCTTAAACAGAACACAAAAGAGAAATATTTGATGGTACAATTGACTGACTGAAAACTATTCTGAAGAGAGATGCAGAACAAAGGCAAATATCTTTAGCGAGAATGCCTCATGCAAAGGTGGCTCCTGTGCTGTCAGTCAGGAAAGCATTGCTCATGTGCTGTTACTGCTGCTTTTTTTATCTCAGAAATGGAAGACTGCCATGCAACTATGAAAGCACAGGATCTCTCTTTGGGTAAAGCAGGTGGCCTCTGTACATCTCCCACCCAGTGGCTTTCCTGGTGCTGCAGCCAGGACTCTTTCCTCATTATTGAGAGACTCCTGGGTATATGTACAAGAGTTAATGGAGCTGGAAGGACTGCTTAAGATTGGTCAAACCAGCTGGCCAGATCGTCCTTTGGTTAGGGAAATTATGACCATGGGCTAAATTATGAGTAATGGTTGCTTTAATGAATAGTTATAAAGCAATAAATAGTTTATTTATTGAATTTATATCCATGCCTTCCTCCCAGAGTTGCTCAGGGAGACAGTTTGCCCAGCTAAATATTAGCAAATATCATAGCAGTGTACAACACTGCAATAAATAAAAATGGTTTCCCAGAAAAACTGACCCATGAGTCAACTTATCCTTTTAAGGTAAAGGTAAAAGGGAAAGGACCCCTAAACGGTTAAGTCCAGTCAAAGGCGACTGTGGGGTTGTGGTGCTCATCTCACTTTCAGGCCAAGGGAGCTGGTGTTTGTCCACAGACAGCTTTCCAGGACATGTGGCCAGCATGACTAAACTGCTTTTGTCGCAACAGAACACTGTGACGGAAACCAGAGTGCACGTAAACACCATGTGCCGTCCTTCTAAGAAAGCCTGTAGTAATAGGAGAGACTTTGGTATCTGATGGTTGGACTTCATTAATATTTTTTAATATGACGCCCTGTGTGAGGCCAAAATTGGGCACTCCCAAATGGATCTTCTCAGTTATGGATCTTCTCAATTTTGCACCCCCTCAGCTCAAGGCCCTGTGTGGGGGAACTGCCCACACCACCCAAAACCCAGTGCTGATCTGATGAAATGTAGATAATGTCAGAGCCTGTTGAATTTCAATGGGCTGGACCTCCAGCACAGACAGGTGAAGACTAGTGGCCTGAACAAATAAATGCAGAGCAGGGAAAACATTTGCCAACTCTTCCTGCTCTGCATTTGGTGCTGCTATTCCTGTGTGAGAGGGGAACTGCAGGACCATTCCTGGAGAAGGACCCACCTCAAAGTACTTTACAGTAGCTGGCCTTGATGCTGGACCTCCTGGTCAAGTTGGGAGTTAAAAACAAAACAAACACCAAACCAAAAAAAAGGTATGCAGTGCACTGCTAGAACCTCTGAGCACTTAAAGAAGTAAGGAGATGCTCTGTGTTTCATTTCGCTCAATGGACACAGCAGGGAGGAGCCTTTCTGCGTGTTTGTCATTAATGTGGTGCAACACTCACCAGCCACCACTGCAGAACCTCCGAGGGGACCTCTGGATTTCTAAGAGTCAGCAGGCAGTTTACTGAGGCATCAAAGTGATCACAAAACCAGTCCAACTTGCTATGCTCTGTGCACCTGTTCTGGCTGCACATCTTTCCCTCCCAGGGAGACTCCATCAGTGGCCATTCTCCAGAGGAAGGCGAAGGGTCCATATACACAGCCTTGTAAACCTTCCAAAGGAAAAACACAAGGCAGAGGGCCAGGAGGCACCACAGCTTTTTCCTGAACTGCATCCTTCACTCAATCAGCTGGATCTCATAGTTTAAAAACCTCCTATGAGGCAAAAGCATCATGCTCTGCGAGTTTCCTGTTCACATATGATGAGCAGGTCGCTTCTTGAGTAGATACTGCTCCACACAGATGCACAGCTCAGCAGCTAAAAACTCAGAAAAATCAAGGTCCGACTCATTCTCCATTTATTCAGCCAGCCAGTGTTCTGTGGGTGTGAACCTCACATCAAACGAATGCTGAAATGCACAGAAAAAGTGTGATATGACGTTAGTATGGACTACAGATGGCAGAGGGAAATGCTTGCGGCAAGATAAAGTTATTATTTTCAGACATCGTTCTGTACATTAATAAGTTTAACGGTGTAATATTTTCCTAAATGTCCATGCTGTTGGTCCCAAGCTTTCCTCCAGTTATGCTGCATGCAATTCAGTAGCAGTTTACCAGATGGGGCAGAACTGCAACACTACCTTCCCAGCAGTAGCATTGCTGCCATTTACTGAAAGGGCTGAGTTGGTGAACAGGTCAAGGCTGTTCAGGTGCTCTACAGAACTGCTGGTTTGGCTTCAGAATCACAGAGTTGTAGAGTTGGAAGGGACCACAAGGGTCATCTAGTCCAACCACCTGCAATGCAGGAATCTTTCAGCCAACGTGGAGCTCAAACCTACGACCCTGAGATTAAGAGTCTCATGCTCTACTAGAAATAGAAATAGACTGGAAAGAGAAGCTGCTGAATTGCAACTCATTACCAAACTTAAAACCATGGAGAGACCTGGTCTGAACAAAGACATTGGATTCTTATCTCATTATACATGACAAAGCCATTTTTCACCTTCTCACCCCTTGCTTTTTCCTGTAAGACCTATTGCAGTCGTTAAGAGTCGTCAACAGGCTCATCACAGCTATCTGCCAATCACCCATTCCCACCACCCTTCTGAGTAATACCCCTCCCCACCTTCTCACTATATAGAAGGATCTGGCAACTTCTGTTTCAGTGTATCTGAAGAAGTGTGCATGCACACGAAAGCTCATACCAAGAACTAACTTAGTTGGTCTTTAAGGTGCTACTGGAAGGAATTTTTTTTGTTATGCTCTACTGACTGAGCTATCCCTCAGCTCTCAAAATCACTGGTGCATCTGCACAGCCCCAACCTCCCTCCTGCCTCCCCATCTATGTTCTGGTAAGCAGCAGCAAGACCATGGCCAGGAAACTAGAATTGTGGCTCGGGGTGAGCCACTTCGAGTGTGATTTATACCCAACTGTAAAGCACTGTCTGCAACCCATCCAGTTTCTGTTTCTGGTCATATCCAAGATTTGTGTTAGTAATCAAGTTAGCATCTCATTAAACACATCCTGACATTTCCATAATTTGCTTCATACTTTCTGTATTGTCCCTCATCCCAGCCAGTTAAAAAGACAGCTTGTTCACTTATTCACCCATTCCCATCAATACCTGTGTTTTCCTTTCCCTCTTATTGCAGGGTTTGCAGATGATTTTTATGATATTATACGGCCCTAGCTATTTTTAGATGGAGATTCCTCTCCTCCAGCTCTCCGGTAAGGAGTGTATCCACTGGTGTATCCATGCTAAAAACCGAGATGACTAAAAATAACCCATTCCAAAGCAATAAAGCAAAAGACTTGTAAAGAGCATGTCATTTTGGGGGGTTTTGGTTTCAAAACTAGACTCATCAAAAACTTGCTTTTTTGCTTTAGAAACTGCCACGTGTAAGTGGGTCAAATATTAACAGAAAGCACAAGGGTCTGTTTTGTGCTGGAAGTTGTTCAAAGGAGGGTCAAAGGTTTTTCCTTAAAGGAAGGTCAAAGGTTAATCCTTGTTCTTAACCAAGACTCTCCTTGTGCCTAGGTTAAAAGGGTGGAAGGGGGAGTGAAAATATGGTCTACAAGTCCAGCGAAAGGATATGGGAGTTCAGCAAAAGGTTGTGGAGTTAGAAACGTAAAAAGCTGCAAGAGGGAGAAAGTGATGAAACCATTTAAGAGACCTGAAACACTGGGAAGTTTTAGGAAACCACAGTTAGGAATCACAGCAAAGGAGCCCAGAGAAAACTACAAAGGGATGCAGAAGCTGAACTGAGGATACAAATGTTAAGTATTGGTTTGGTCAGAGAAGCAGACTGGTTTGTTTTGTGGTTTGTTTATTGTTTGTTTGTTTTTAAAGTATTGTTTCAATAAAGTATTTAAAGATTTAAAAAACCAAAATAGATAAATCAACTACTCTTATGGGCAACTGCTAAAAATGTAAAAATTGGGGTTCCCCCTATAAGAAACCATTTTCTCAAAAATGTGTTGCCTTGCTAAACCTGTAAGTAAATACACAATGTGTTTTGGAAAAGCTTGGTGTGAGGTCTTGTTATTCACTCCACACACAACTGCCATCACACACTACCCAGTATTGAGAGTAGGATGGGTCAGCTGAAGTCCAGGTGGTTAAATAGCTGTTCAGTGGGGATGGGGGTGGGTTAGGGGGAAATGCGTGGATGGGGAGATATTTTCACCTGGTGGCAACAGTGAAATTAGCAAGGATGAAAGGTTAGTTTGCTTACAGGCTACAGCCTGTACTGTCAAAGGAGAAATCAAACTAAACTGGAAGAACATGAAAATAAAATCCAGGCTTGTGCAAACATACCGTAAGCATTCTAACATAAAGCTTTAGTAATGTGAAATGTTCTCATTTCAGGAACGACTTCTAAATATTAAAATAGTGATGCAGAAAGGTTATCTAGAAATGTTCCTTTAAAATGCTCTGAGTAATATATGTGCTGTTATCAATGAGAAGGAAAGCTAACAAAAACCCCTGCAAGGCAAATACACACTGGTGCCACTAGATCATTTCGGACTCTGGACCTAATGATTTTGAGAGGAGGGTTTCGATGGTAAAGTTGCTGCAAATGAGAAACACAAAATGCACCCATCACCTCCAAAGGTACACAATGCACTGTGCCACCTACACAGGGTTGTATGCAATGTTAGTCCTACTCAGATGCATTAAAAATAATGGTCATGGCTAACATTGATTTCAGTAGGTCTGCTCTTGAGTATAACTTAATTGGACACAATTCACATGGTATAAACTGATCCTGTGCAAAATAAATCCCACTATGCTCAGTAGGGATTATTCCAGAGTAAAAGTTTGTGTCAGGTTACTGACACAAAATCACAGCCTCATCGCACAAAGTGAGATGTTGAGCTGGGACACCAGAAAGAAACAAAACACACAATGCCGGAAAGAGGGGCATTTTATCTTACCCATCCCTTTAACTCTATACTTTGGAACTACTGATATGTTGTTAGAGCAAAAGAATCAAGTGCATAAGTTTCTCTGGGTCAATAGTCAAGAACACTGTTGGATCTGAAATGCAATTATGCAGGACTGAAGGAAACACACTCTGTACATGTTTTGCGACTTTCATCTAATGACTTCACAATCCTAGGCACATTGCTTAGGAGCGAGTCCTATGAAAGTCAGCAATATATTCTTCTGAATAAAAGGTGCCTAGGATCTGGCTGTAACTGAAGGGGGAACGGGTGTGTGGAAGGAATTAAAAACACAAATTACTGCTGCAAACACACTACACCTTTAATGCACGTTTGAAGCACGTTTCCTACTCAAAGAATTCTGGGCACTGTAGTTTATCCATCACAAACAATTCCCAGCCACTCTGAACAAACTACTGTGCCCACAATTATTTGAGGGGAGGAAATGTACTCCGAATGTGTTTTAAAGATATGATAACCGGATGGCAGGAAGTGAATGAAGACCAGTTTGTGAGCAATGAACAGCCAAATAAAAGAGAGAAAGAAGGCAAGGGGGGAGGTAATTAACAAAAATGAAAGAAAGACGCAACCCTCTGCACACTTACCGGGAAGAGCAAGCCCCACTGAACGCATTGGGATTTACTTGTGAGAGTCAACACGCGCAGGCACTGGTGGCTGCCCCAAATGGAAGTTTTGTTGCAAATTCAGCTGAGATAGTGGAGTTCCTCTATCGAGGGAGAAGCACTGGTTCCCGCAACGAGGGAATTGTTTCCCATTTCCTGCTAGTTTATCGCTGCAGCGTGGAAAGTTGCTGCAAGCCCAACTATGACTCACTTGGAAAAGGAGGTTGCTGCGCTTGGCACCACTGCAAATAACAGCTTCCGAGGAGGGATCTTCTTCGGGACCTCAGCAGGAGATTGTCCCCTTCCCCACCTGGCTGAGATAATTACTAGGCCTCCCACCTTGCACTGAGGTTATTTGCATTTGAAAAACAAAAACTAGTGCAAAGACACTTTCTGCTAAAGAACAAACTGGCTCGTTCCCCTCCTTTGTTAACCTGGCAAATTTTTAGCATAATTGAGGTTGTGTTTCAACAAGTTCAAGGACACCTCAGCAGACTCTACAGTGTTTTCAAAAAACAAGGACCAGCAGCGAAGACTGAACAGGCTGTTGTTTCAAAGTCTGCAGCTACTTTATCTCGTGTCCCTGAAGTCTCTTATCAAGTCAAGCGACATGTTGCTACTATCTTTCAAGCAAAAAACATAGCCATGAGAGTCAATTACTGCTCTCCAAGGCAACTCTGCGTGACAGTCCTCAACTTCTGAGGGGAAAAACTAGGGAAGGAATTGTGTGGGAGGAGGAAATCCTGCTTGCACCCCGCCAACTACCGCAAGAGGTGATTCAGTGGAGGCAGGAGTTTGTTTTCCCACACGAAGCTTTCATTGTTTGATTAGTCTAAATCACTCTGTAAGGTAAGCGTAAAACCTATAATGGCCAGGCACCATATTATTTCACACAAATCAGAGTTAACATCTCCTATTTGTTTATTCACATTTACATGGATTTTTGCACATTTCATCGGAAAGCACTACAGCTAGCAAATGCACTGTGAAAAATGCTACAAGGCAAGTCCTATTCTCATCTATCCTTTCAGAGAGTGTCTTAAAGGGTGGAGGATGCAGAGATGATCATCCTCTGAGACCCTTCTTTGTGCGCCTCCTCCATGAGAGATCTGGAGGGTAGCAACATGAGAACGGGGCTCGCCTGGAACCTTCATTACATATATTTAGGCACCAGGTGAAAATGTTTCTCTATACCAGGCCTTTGGCTGATTAACATCCTATGGCCTTTTAAATGTGTTTGTGGGAGGGGAGGTATTGGTTTGCTTTATTGCATATTTTGTGCTCTCATTTTTCATTTTATATGTTGTGAGCTGCCCTGTGAGCTTTGGATGAAGGGCGGTATACAAATTTAATTAATAATGATAATAATAATGCTGACAGTGGAAAGAGAAGTTCGTGCTGGTTGTCAAGACAAGCTTTTATTCATTATTTCCAAGCACTGTGGAAATATGGGCTACAGATAAGCAACTTCTACTAAAAATAATTTAAGGCATTAGGCAGAGTACTTGTCAGATTACTGGTACATGGTTATGTATTTATTTTATTAATTTCATAAAATTTATACACTGCCCAATTGTGTGTGGGGTTTTTTAAACCACCCTCAGAGCATTTTACAAATACTGCAAAGGAACATTTGCTCTTCTTATGCAAATACTTACTTTCAGTTTACAAACTGCCAGAATGTCCCATTGATTTTAAAGGGGTATTTCCTGCATTAGCAACATTTATGTGTGTCCAAATGCTAGTTTAATGGGGCCTCTCCCTTCTGTGCAGTGTCAAAGCAGCATTGCTTTGGAATATAATTTGACGTTTTACAGCAGCTTGTGAAGCAGAGCACAATTACTCCTGAAACATACTGTTACAGAGATGCATGCACTATATCTGATGCTACTCATTGCATTGAATAGTGTCACAGACCCTACACTGAGAATCCTAACTGTAGCTGCTGAAAGATAGTTTGCTAGTGTTACCACCTGCTTACCTTAACCAAGTGTTGGAGATCACACAGTCCAGGCAAACTGAATTATTGTTCTTCCTCTTCCTTGGTTGCACTCAGAATATTAATGAAGATTGAAGCCACCTCCCATGGCTGCATGTGGTAAGTGACTCATTTTGAAATAGTGCTTTCGAACAGGAATTATTGCAAAAATAGAAGGGAAGTTAACAACCCAATGCCAACCACATCAGACTGAGGACACATGCTTTAAAAGCAAATGGTATTGTTTAAGCTGCAGGAACTGCTTCCTGCAGCATAGAGGAAGCCACTGTGTGGTTGGGTCACACCTGCAAGCAGGCAGCTACTGTTGACTGCATTAGGAACATAGGAGGCTCCCTTATACGTACTGAGTCAGATCATTTGTCCATCTACACTGACTGGCAGCAGCTCTCCAGGGTTTCAGGCCAGAGTGTTTGCCAGCTGTATCTGCTGATGCCGAAGACTGAACCACTAACCACTGAGCTACAGTCTTTCCCCAAATCACACTCTCCTCCTGCTATTGCAAAATTAGCTCACACAGCTGTTCTGCGTAACCAATCAGAATTATCAACCAACTTTGGCTGCAATAGGCACCAACCCAACTCCCCCTATTTGTCTTCTGATAGTAGGTTATCTCATATATTTTCCTGTTGGTGGGAAATATTGGAATTCCTTGAAAGTTTCAGGAGGCTCCATAGTGAGAAGATCAGTAATAGTGGGCATCCACCACCTTTCGTCACTGCTAGGAAATCCATTGGAATTCACAACAGCTGGGGAGTGTTGGGTGTATTCTAGGTACACTGTCAGTTTGCCAGGGGAAATGGCTAATTCCAGCAGGCTTACCCAGCACCCTGTAAGAAAAGAGCATGTGCCACAGAATACATCCCAAAATCCTCTTTAACATACAGACTTAAGAGGAGGGTACTCCACAAGCAGGTTGCCACTACAGAAAAGACCTGTTTTCCATTCCCTAACTCTTAACTCTTGGTAAGTGAAGGAAACCCCCCCCCATCCCCAGGTGGTGTCTTACCAGAAGATCTTAGGGGTTTGAGAGGCATGTATGTAAACAGGTGGTCCTAATAGCAATCTGCCAGCAAAAGCTTCCTGCAACATGAATCCTTTAAATTGCTGCTTGCTACAGAGGTAGCTAAGTGAGTTTCCTTTATAAGACACAAGAAGTCAAACAGAAGTCCCTGATCCTTGCTCTTACAGGTTCCATTTGTGCAAAAGAAGGAACATGGGTAAATAGAGGTCAGATACTTTCACTTTCTCTTATAGGATTCCTATTTTAGGATAACAGTTTGAACAATAACTTTTATTCGCCTGCAAGCTAGATTGTATTTCTGATTAAAAACTGAAGGTGGCATTTCAGCTGCCTGAAAATACTTGTTTTAAATGTAAACTGTCTCTCTCTGTGTGTGTTACACTCCAGATCAGGATGTTTAGTTTTAAAAGCCATTAATTTATACAGCCTATATAGGCTTCCAGCCACCAGCCAATTATTAGCCTAACCTGCTCCCCCCACCCATTTTCCTAGTTTCTTCTCTCTTTTGTAGCAACACAGTAACAGCACGACAATAACAGCAATGATTTGGGTTTTCCAGAAAGTGGTGATGTCCATTGTATGAAAGGTGACTGTCAGACTTGGCCTCTGCAGGTGGGAAGAGATAAGGATCTGACCCACTGGCCAGATCCGGGTTTCCCACCAGGGACGCGGACTTATAAAAAATATTGGGGGGGCCCGGGAAAGCTCATGAATAATAAATAAGCTCATGAATATGCAAATAAAGTGGCGCCTCCTCCTCGTGAGCGAATAGGGGAGAGCGTGCTGCGCCTATTAATCAGCTCCAAAGGAAATTGGGTGGAGCTTTTGCTCGGGAGGGAGGGCAGGAGGCATGCAGCCCGCCCCTCCCTGTGCATTTTGGGCTGGGGGAGGGGCGGCGATGGCGCTCTGCTGGAGGGGCGCCGGAGATTATTGGGGGGGCGGAGCCCCCCCAAACGAATTTTTGAGGGGGCTCGGGCCCCCTCAAGCCCCATGGAGTCGGCGCCTATGTTTCCCACCATAGAGTGTGATCTAATTTAGTAAACAAAGCTGAAAGCTCTAAAACTGCCAAGCTTGTGTAATATTTAATTGTAGTTGCCATTCATTCATTGTTACCAATGAACTTTGGAAATGGAAAAATAAAGTGCTGGAAAAATTTATGTCACTAATTAACAGTCATGATACTATTCTTAACAAAGTTTGATTTATAAAAAGGTGTCACATTCCCCCTCACATAATAGGGGGTGGGGAATCAAATTTGATGATGTTGTATATGTGTGAGTGGGAGTCCATAGTGGTTTGATGTGATGAGCAAAGTATCTGATGAAGCTGGAACTTCAGACTACCTGGAACATCCACAGATGTGGAGGCTGTCAGAACATGTAATTCTCTTTTGTCAGTTTTTCTTACTATGCTTTCAGGGAGAGGTCAGTAACTCTAGACTTTATTTTTAGCTTTCAGGCATTTGTCTATGTGTAAGTAAGTAAGTAAGTAAGTAAGTAAGTAAGTAAGTAAATGCATCATATGTAAGTATTGAAACTTAACCTTTATTCTTGTGGTTTTTTATATTGTATGTTTATGTTGTGAACTGCCCTGAGATCTATGGATGAAGGATGGTATACAAATTTAAACAGACAGACAAATAATGATTGATTTGATTGATTGTACCAGGTGCATGAGTTGCCAGTTTATTTCCAGGTCCATTTTAAAATACTGAGCTTATTCTTTAAAGGTTTGGGACTAGGTTACCTTAGAGTAGGGCTGGGAAACCTGAACTGCATGCCACTGGTGGGTAGGGTTAAAGATATAAAGTGGGTGGGGCTGAGGCCAAAGTGGGTGGAGCAACAAATATGGCTCTTACCTTTTGTACAGAAGGCTTCATTGCAGCTATGCAAAAGTCTCCATCCTTCATCCAGGCAAAAGCACTCAGAAAGCGTGCAGTAAGGCTGGTGGGAAGGGGGTATGGGTACTCGTGAGGGGGCTTGTTCTTGGAGAGTCCCAAGGCCTAGAGAGCTGCATTCAGCCCCTGAGGTTCACTCTTCCTGCCTTCACCTGTAGTCTGCTCACACTTTGAGATCAGCTTCAGAGACTCTGCTTGTGTGCCTGACTGTAAGAGCAATTAGGCTAATGGGAATTTGGGAGAGGGTCTTTTTGGCAGTGGCCCCATGCCTGTGGAACTCTGTTTCAGCTGAAATATATAAGGCTCCATTATTGTAGACCTTTAAGCAAGCCCCAAAGATCCACCTATTTACAACTGCCTCCTCTTAAATAGTAATTTTATTGAGTTGAACTATATATGGTGCAGGTGTACAAAGTTATTTACTACGTATCTACATTTCTTTTTTACTATTTAACACACAAAGCAGGTTTTCAACTTCCCTCAAAACCTTCCACTCAGAAGTAACACAGGAAAAGTGTGATTTCCAATCTCCCTTGGTAGTCTGACTAAGCAGCATGAGACGTAAGCAAAAGAAAATTTATTACAGGAGTGGTGGTGGTGGGGATAAAACATGCATTCAGGTGTACCAAAAATTTTAGGAAATAAAGAAACATGAGACAAAAATTAAATAGTATACAGTTTTGGACTGCAGTACATTTTCTTCTCAGGTGGAATCATATCATTTGAAAAGACATATAGGAAAGAGCTCTGATGATTCAGGCAATCCGGATTACA